TAATTAGGATTACAAAATAATAATACATATATAAAATTAAATAAAATAAAATAATATTTCTTTAGTATATTTTAATTAAAAGTTGTATTAATCACTACAATTAAAAATAAATAGAAATGTTTTCTCACAATTTATGAAATATTTTAAAGTATGCTGAATGGGTTAATTATTCTCTAACCCATGAAATTTCTCAAATATGCAAAAAAAAAATTTTCTATGCAATCAGAATTGAATGAATCGTCCACATTTTTTACTCCCATAAAACTACATATACCGACCCAGTAACAATATGTAAAAACACATAAATCYGGTCTTTAGTCATAAATGATTTCTATAATGAATTATACACATAGGTCATAGAAATTTTTTGATTTTTTTTTTAAATTAATTATTTAAAATTATTAGTTAGTGCTATGGAAAAAATAAAAACGCTACGACACAGACAAAGTAATTCCCTGTGCATTGTGGAATTTTGTTAATTCTGCAATAAATATAGAAGAAGTAAAATTATCCCGCAAAATACAGTTTTTGATAAGTTATACTTTTGTAAGACAGAGACAACACATACATAATGGTATGCTGTTCTCTTAACAACTTGATTTGTTAAATGTTCTTAACATGGTTTTTACTTTTTTGGTATGTCAATATATGAATTATTGATTATATATTTATAAATTAAACTATAAACTAAATTAATGATTATATTATGATGTTGAACAAACCATTTAATACTATAATATAATATGTTTAGTTAATAATTATTTTAGAACACAGTTACCCTATGCTATAAATTATTGTATGAAATTGTRTTTTGCTTTTGCCTATTCTAAAACTATTCTCAATACTAAATTTGAATTAGGTAGAATTGTAATTTGTAGTAACATAACCATTTATGGAATTTTAAGTTTAACTTTTGAGATTTTTGATTCACTAATCTCATGGACTTGTTTGCCATATTTTCCGTTGTTTTTACTGTTCATTTATTTATRATATTTTAATACTTTTCATCAATTAAAATGCAATACATATTTTAAATTTTGTTTTCGTTCGTATTTTGTATGTGCTGTATAATATATTACACATCATACTTAAAATAATAACCTTATTTTAGAACAATATTTTCAAATCATTAATACTAACCCTCTACCTATATCATAGCTATACAAGCTAGATACCAATTTTAAAATTTGTAAGCGCCAATCTAAATAAATTCAAGTTTTTCTGTTGTGTGATTGTTATCTTAACTAAGTCTCATCGAAACAAATTTTATGCTTTGAGTGGAGTTTCACACATACGTTATACGTATCTTATATATTTTAGATTCTGACCCTCACACAGGGGCGGATCTGAAGCTTAGTTAAAGAGGGGGGGGCGAATTCCGAATAGGAATATCCATGAGTAATATACAAGTACAATGAGCAAGGTCAAACCTGGTGGGTTTAGGGGGTCACCACCCTCAGAAATCCGTACCTATATCAAATTCGGATCAAATAGTTATAATCCGTATACTATAAAATGATCACGGTATACATTTTTCAACCTCCCCCCCCTCGCCAAAAAAAACATTTCCTGCTTTTGCACCTGCAATGAAGACTTGAT